AGTTTAAGTTGATTTGTTTAGTTGTTCGGTATAATTTACTTAAAAGAACGTTAAGTTTTTTCAAACAACCTTAGTCTTATTCACCCTTTCGCGGGCCAAGATTAAAAGCTGTGTCATAAATTGTCCTTGTCCAGGTACTTTTTTCGCCGCGAGCAACCACTTATAAAGCAACAATTGGCGCTCTGTGGGTTGGACTTATTTTTATGCTATAAACATTCTCTTGGGATGCATACCTGTCACATTCTAAACAATATTGAAGCTCGTCTGTTATTAGTTTTATCACATGGTTACCACTTGTCTTTATTTCTATGCTATTGTGACGGGCCAATTGTGGTTATTTCTTTGTGTTTTGGAAAACACCGCTAATTATTAATCCTGGCACATTTAGCGATGCGTTTCAAGGTTCCTCGGCGTATTTTCGCAATCGCTTTGAAGTAATAGCTCAGAAAAGTTTCCTCTTGGAATGATTGGGAGATTATCATCTGAACGAGGAGAGACATCGAAGAAAGGCTTTCAGTTCGTTGTTGTGGCAAATGGTAGCTGTGCAATGGACAGTGATTTAAAAGGATGTTTGATGTGGCGAAACATCGACTCGCAGAGAGATGAGAAACGACACAAGACCGAAACTGAAAAACTACCAAAGGAAGACCTGGCGAAGAATATGGCTGACGTTACAACATCACTAGATATAATCAGAAACTCGACAAAAAAGACCTTCGACAGATCTGAAATACTTATAGAAGGAACTGCTTTTAACTGCCAAAACTCGTTCCAGAATACAGATGGTGCTAAGATTACACCGGGTCACGTACACTACAGTGTTGAAGAACACAGCGCCAGTTCAGACAAAGACGACAGTCAAGCCAACGAAAATGCCATGAACACTGAAAAAATTTTCATAGACTCTTTCGAAATGAGTTTGAATACATTAGACGAGAGCAGTGATCAAGATAATGAAAATGATGTGAGTTTATTGGGATCACCAAAAGCGATGCACAGAAGCCTCAACCCAAGCCCTTGGAAGGAAGTCTGGTCAGCTCTACAGGACAGAAGTTTGGCGACTTGTCTCTCAACTAAGAGCATGGAGTTTGGACAAGACATTTCTGGAACATCATTTTCTACCAGGACCAATCCTTACAGTAAGCAAAGGAGAGAGAAACCTCAAAGGATACCGCCGCTCTATAATAAAAGGAAAATTGTTCCGACAACCGGTGGTAATAAGACACAAATACCTTCATTTGACGACGCTGTCATATTTAGTGCCGTGATCAGAGATGTTAGACGTAGCCAAGATATTGGAATCACTGATGATATTGGCAAATGCAAAGAATCCATCAACTTAATGGAGTTTAAAGACAACACCGTGCAGGTAGACAGCGATGAGGGCCAAAGATGTGGAAAACACGAGAGTAAAGGTATTAAGGACAAGACTATTGGCCTTCCTCAGATAACGCGGTACCCACCTACTGACCGCTATAAGAGCAAGTTTCGCGTGAGGCTACTTCCTCTAGTGGCGAAGAGCGATTCACTGCCGGATCTGACGTCGACTTCAACATCGGCGCCTTCGGAACTAATCGTGACTGCGCCGATGAACGGCGCAAGCCCGAACGAAAATGTTGGCTTTGATTGTTCTAAGAGTGAAGATAGTATAACCAATCTAGTTACGGAACCAGGGCAGCTGATGAGCCGCTCCATGTCGTTAGATTCTGTGTTTTCACTGGAATCTTTCGCGGCTTATCAGGCAAAGAAAGGTAAAGGGATAAACGTGCAAGGATTTCAAGTTTTGCCAGACATAAAACAGATCAAACCAAAGAAATACCGATCAACTTTGAAGCAAAACGACCCAAATATCTCGGGTATTTCTCAAACACCTGTGATAACTCTGTCTTGGAAGTGCAACTGAGTAGCATAAGAACACTGGGGGAACTTTTCATGTAAATGACACTTTTCGGCGGTGTAATTATAGCCCCCTCCCCCATCTTCTGTGTAAATAAAGTTGGCTTCGAGTGGCAGGTACACAACAGATAGGATTGATTGAAGACCACATCAAGGACTGAGTAAACAACCGAACCCACAAGGTCCCCACTAAATTGCAAATAGTTACTCAGAATAGCGACTAGGAAAGAGATAATTTTTTGTGCCTTCAAATTGCTGTGGGAATGAGTCCTCTCCTTTCACTTCACATTCAACGTGTCATACCGATTTTATGAGGAATTACCACTATTTCCTTCATAGGTAAACCTTGTACTGGCTTCCATTCCTTCCCCTCCAACCCTAAAAATGATGACAAGAATAATACTATTTTCTGAAATCGTCCAGAACGAACTTTCAGTTTAAAAACAATGTCAGAATAGCCGTGGGAGTTTCTTCCTGCCTGGCCATTTCACAGATAGCTGATAGTCTTTCAGTGATAGAAGTTGCAATGTAGTAAGTATATTTTCCTTCCCTGTGTAGCTGTTCGAGAAGTATTCAGCACCAGGAGAAGAGTGTTGCTCATGGTAATTTCAAAACCATACCACAATACCCAATGTATGTAAACAGTACTATTAACGGTATTAAATTCACTAGTTACTTTTAGAAATTTAACATAACAAAGAAAATAACAACAAAAAATAAAAATATGTTCAAATCCGATCTTATTCTTTTTATCTAAATATCCAGTATATAAATAATTTTTGTTTTGTGACATGTTACTTTCTTCTGAATATTCATTTTTCTACTGACGCAAGAAACCACTGCTGTTAATCCTTTTCATTCTAACTGGTCTTGTAAATTCTCAGCCAAATACATTTTCCAGTTGAGTTGAATTACGTACGCACAGATTTCTTGAGCTTAGCAGTGTGAACAATGACGCCCTTTTAGTTTTGTAATTTTTAAAGCTATATTTCAACTTTCATTAAACGATTCAGAGCTGTAAAAAAAGTCTAAGCTTTGTTTGTGGTGAGACAGAAGTCCAAATTTACTGTGATGGCAGGTGTTTCTCAAATTCGCTCGAAAATGAATAAATTACTGGAGTTGTAAAGATCATTGACAAGTGTAACTTCAATTTTGGCATCCTTTTAGTCCTATTCCGACTAAACCTTTATTAAATTTGTTATCACGTCCTTATGGAAAATAATTGCGGGGAAATTTAATCGAAATATGGCAAGGATACAAAAAAATGACTACAATATCCAACGAGGAAGTTTGCCGCTGTCTTACCCAAGGATTCAAAGTAAACAAATCCAAGATGGAAATTTGGTATCCTCTGACGATGTGAAAAATGTCAGAGATCTCTTCATCTTTGGCGAAAAACACTGCGAGCCGAAATCTTTCGGAAGAATGGAAGCGTGGATAAGCGAAGAAAGCAGAAAACTAAAGCGAATGAAAAGACACTTTCAACACTCTGAAACCTTTCTTGGGAGTCTGAGAGCCGAGGGGTCTAATGAGGTCTCTTATAAGTTGGTGCCTTCACCTGAATTCAAACCGGGAAGTTATTTTCTGTTGCCAGAAAGCTCTCCCGGATCGGAATATGACGCAGTTCGCTTTGACAGATGCGTGCCCTCGTATACGTACATCAAGCCTACCAATCAGCTATGTAAGAACAATGTTATGAGAAGAGAGTTTTGTGAAGTCGTTGGGAAAGAATTGTGTATCGACTGTAAAGGTGGCAAGCTGAGGCAAAAATTTAATCACAAAATGAATTCTTTATACCCATGTCTTGAATATGATAAAGATAAGAGACCTTACGGGTACTGTCCAAGAGCGATACGTCTAACAGAACCTTTACCATCAAGGGTCCAGCAACGACCGAAAAGCTTAAATTTGACTGAAAGAGGTCGTACTACTTTGAGCGGGGACATCCGCGGCATCCGCCGGGATGGATGTGACAGTGATGCACCAATAAAAGTCTTTATCAAACCTCGGCCGTACACGAGCTGAAATAAAGTATTTGGAGAAGAAATTAAAATCACGACGTGGCCGCGGTAGAACGAAAAGATAATGTTCTGAAGGTGATACCGTTTCTCTTAGAAAGAAGAGCCACTGTTCCGATCCATAACACTGAAAATGTACCAAGGGATACACTTTTTATCACATTAGGTTAAAACATAGAAGTTTATATAAAAATATGCAAAGGATGGAAGGAATTAAGTCTAAATGTTTGTGCAAACGTTTCTCTCCCTTCCAGTAAACACACAGCACAATTCTCATGAGAAATGAGCTAGGCTGAGCCAGCAATAACACAGAGCTAGAGGAAGTGATAAACTTTTCGAACAACTATGCTTATGCGCATCAACCTTATTCAGTTGAAGTCTATCGCAAAAACTTACTACAGCCACCTCTTCATTAAGGACCATTAAAGGCCATGNTTGTGCAAACGTTTCTCTCCCTTCCAGTAAACACACAGCACAATTCTCATGAGAAATGAGCTAGGCTGAGCCAGCAATAACACAGAGCTAGAGGCAGTGATAAACTTTTCGAACAACTATGCTTATGCGCATCAACCTTATTGAAGTCTATCGCAAAAACTTACTACAGCCACCTCTTCATTAAGGACCATTAAAGGCCATGTTTTGACCTGAGCATCGGTTTGATTAGCTGGCCGAAAGTCATTAATACTGTTGCCCAGTTAATGGGCTCCCTTTTAGGGTCTCGTTAATGGTCCCACCTTACATATATCAATCAAGAATATACCGCACTTTCCCATTTTTATGTTACTTATATCATGCATCACTGTGCTACAACTTAACTAGCCAGAGATGGACGTCCTTTCCAATAGTACTTTGTAATATTATGTTCGTCTCTTGCTGTATCCTTGCGGCATCTAAATAAGTAAATGAGTGGACTGGAGATGTATCTATATGAGTCAGTCGTTTCTTAGCCAGCTAACCGCCAAACATTAAAATAACACGTTCCAGAATTTATAACACTGGCAGAGCTGGAACATAGAGAATTAGGGCGATTGAGATAACTGTAAAAGGAAGAAGAGGCAAGGCTAGACTTGGGAAGTCAGGGGAGCCGCTTTTGTGATGACAGCTCAAACGAAGAACATGGATTGCAGCCTGCCTAAGACAACTTTGGTTCGAGACGAAAGACCAGACAGCATAATCACCCGCATAATCCGAGAACTAGGTCTGGAAGATCAAATGTCATGGGTGCAGGTTACCATATTCATTTGGCTGTGTTTTATTTTCATTTATTTTTTGACTGTGGAATCCATTTGATATGGAACTAAGCTTGGCTAATTTACAAAGTTTAGAGTTGTAATTGTTTACTGAGGCTTATGTTTGAATAGCGGTTTCACGAAAGACAATATCGGCATAAAAATTAATGCGTCATTTTCAATCGTGACCTCTCAGTATAAGGCATTTGAAGCCGAGTTTGTTAGCTTGGAGAAAGGTAAATCAACTATAAACCGAAATGTGTAACAGATGTATAAATTGACCATGCAAGTCAGTGGTATGAAGTAGGATTAAAAAAGCGATTACACTTTCTCTGTCAAATCGTGTCCTGTCATGGTTTACTTCTTAAGCTCCTTTATTACAGACCTCTCTGATTAATCAATATTTAGTTTAATCCTCGAAGTGTTGTGCAATCAAAGAAACCGAAGCCAATTTTCTCAGTTATCATGCAACAATTGTTTTGACCCCATGGCATGAAATTCGTAGACAATTAGTTTCTTAGTCTGGATTTCAGTTCTTTTGACTGATAGTTTATTTAACGACCCTTGCACAGAAATGCCAAGGGAAATTTTCTTAGATGTTCTCTTACATCAGAACTATTCGCTCCGAAGTGTTATCAAGAGTTCATTAAGCCCTTTTCGAGCTAATAATGCAAATGCAAATAATTCAATGAGGTCCAAGTTAATTGTGTTCAAGCCAAAATTGACAGATTATTTGTTTTTGACAATCTGGCCATGACTTGCATTGTTACCCAGCAACAGTTCAGTACAGTGAAAAGTCGCACATACCGTGACAATAAAATACTTCGCAATCTGTTCTCCACTTTCGCCGTGTTATGGCTTACAAAGCAAGCCGTTTATGTACGTTACAAGACGTACAGGACATATGGAGGCCTTGTACTTCCCAAGTGGATGGTTTGCAAAAGTAAGTGGCAAACAAAACCATTGTGTATGATTTTGTTGACGACCGTGTCTCGATCTAATCGAACAAGACACAGTGATGCAATGTTCTCTGCTATCCCTACTATTTCCAACAAGCCGAGACGCATTCAAGGCCGTTTTTGGGTACTCTTCAGTTGCAAATTCGAAGTTTTGACAGAACTAAACTGTTGCCATTCATTTTGATCTCGGGTGTCAAGAACTTTCGTTTGCTTTCGTTGTTCGACAAGTGAGTTGTCAACATGGCTAGAATGTTTTAGATAAGTGGAAGAAGGTCAGCGCGCGTGTGTATGCCGCCTGATAAATTGTCCAAACTTAGGTTGTATTTGTGAGTTGTTTGTCAGAAGCAGAAGAGAATTCGGCGGAGACACAGTGTTTGTTTAGGCAGGTTTAGGCAATTCGCAAAACCAATCTGGCATTTTTACAAATTGTACAGTACCAATGAAAAGGAACGGGCTTGATGAGTATTGTGATTGTAAGAGACAATGAAAGGTCATGGATCGTCGTGCAGTGCTATATCTAGCTCATTTGTACCCTAGTTAATTTTAGTAAGTTCAAACAAACTTCCAAAGTAAGTGAGATGCTGATATTTAGCTCGGCAAGTTCATATAGCAGTGGCTTGTTGACAGGTGTTTTATGTGACTAAGTGATTGACAACTGAACTGGAGTTTCATGATTCCCAACAACGTGGTTTATGCACATGTAAAGGTATTCAGTCAAGCTAGTAATGGTACGCAGGCTGATTTGCCTTTCAAGGGTCTTTCATGGCAGTGCATGCATGACTTAAGCTTACATTTCACGACTTTGACATTTCCATGGCCGAAAATGTCTGTCTGTTGGACTACTTGTTTACCAGCGTACGCTGCTTATAATTATTTCACCTCAGAAAAAACATGTGAATTAACATCTGATGGCAATTCGGCGTGAATTTTTCTTTTGAAAACTTAAGACGTTTGGTATGTGAGAGCACCTGAAACCACAACATCTGGGAGAATCTCAGTAGGCTTCAGGCCTTTTGCAAAATGACGAGTGTATATAAGTCGCTACATTGGCGAACAATATTTATTATCTTTTCCACTGATAGAGGAAAAGACGTGAGTTATATTGATTCTTCAAATTTGGATAGACGTTTCCATGAGTGTGTCATCGAGAACTGTAACAGTTGTCTCCATCATTAAAAGGACAGAATGAAATCCAATCGCTCGCCGTCAACCACATCAGACCATTTCTATTTACCCCTGTCCTCTGAACGAAGACAGTTTTCGCGTATGACTTACACAGCCATAGCCAGACATTGTCATGATACAGTCAGTCCTAACCCCTGTAACAGGGCATAAAAACTTGATTATATTGATAGGCTTTTCCACGAGACGATCACATGTTAAAACGTCCTTCAAGCAATGCGACAGCCTCCAAAACACAGCAACTTCAACCAGTTAATCTTGACTCTTAGTTTTCCTTGGTTTCGATGTGTCCCAGAACGTAATTTGACATGCAGTACTATTAGGCGGATTTTTGTTCATGCGATTGGCTCGGGCGAATGGTCCATACCTTAAAATTAATCACTGAATGAATCGGTACAGTCTTTAATTTCCGGGGGACTATCCATTTATGTTAACTTCTCCACTAATCTTGCATTCTTAAGGTTTAACCTCAACACTGTCACAGTAGCCTTCGATAGCAACAAGATCAACCAAGTTCCACACAGCCCTCCCAAGTGTATTCCAGTGGAGCAGCTTGGAACATTTGAGGGAGAGGCTTCAAAAATGGATTGTAGTACTCCAATGACAGCAGTAAGTGACATTCGTCAAAACGTCAGCGCCTACCGTGGTTACGTGACATCATCTAACACATGCGCAGTAGACGACACTCGATCCGTCCACTCAAACTCAGAGGGTTCACCTGACAGGGTTTCGCGGACAAATATCTTATCGCGCATGGCAAAAACTAAAGCATCTTGGGTGGAAAACCAGAAGCCTCCTGAGAATCTGCCGGAAGGAAAGAGTCCCATACTCTGCAAGGGGAGGCCGCTTGGGAGTTCCTTACTGACACCATACATGGAAAACAAGTTGTTAACGGATAGAGGTACGAAAGGGGTTCGCTACGGAAAGAAATTTGATCTATTGCCGATTTCGAAATATTTGACACAGTACCGGCACGAGAGTAAGTTTCGGAACGAAAAAAACTTGCCCCTTGTTCGAATAAGTTCTTATCACACAATGTGTGGCTGCTTGGACGGTTTTGGATCCTGGGATTGCTCAGACGGGGAAGAGCAAGATGACAAGCAAACAGCAACCTTCTTTACCACAAAGGACGTATTCAGACCTTTCCACTCGAGGTTGTCACCCACGAAGGGTGAAGCCTTATATGTTGAGCCTGTACAGGGCAAGTTAAACACTGGCTTTATAGATGACATCAGATTGCCAAGACTTCAAGACAGCAGCGGAAATGAAACCTTTTTCACTGAACCAAACAGACACTACAGAGTGAGCCAGAGCAGATTTAAAACAAGGAGAAATGTTTCTTTTCCTGTTATAGTCAATTAAGATCAGGGACGCCCTCTTGTCTAATATCGCTGTACGACAGCAAAAACCGTGTTTTCAGAAGAAAACTGAGAGTGATTTGAAGCAGGTAGCTTGTGAACGATCCGTGAAATACTTCCTGTGTTTTCATTGGTCATAAAGGAACAAGGAGAAGTTAGGTGAGTCCAAACGGCAGCCAGGGAAGGTGGTAAGGTAAGGCTGGAAGAGGCCCTCGAGACTCCCTTCAGAAACGGCTCAAGAGTGAATTCGGCATCGCACCAGACTTTGTCTTTAATGAAACAGCTGAATGAAATGTCTTGTTTTATTTACCAAATAAATAAGCCAAGTGCACAAACTCGAAGACATCATGTTGTCACGCTTTTCAGATCGAAAGCCTGAAAATGGCAGAGAGTGTAACCTAAGTGATTATGCAATCAAAGTTGTTAAATATTGAATACACTTGAATACAATTCCATCAGTTTGGTGTTGTTTACTTTCAGCAGGCCCTTTACTAGGTATTTCCGTGGACCATAAAAGCTGCTTTCTTGGCAAATCAAGTTCTAAAAAAAGTTTCAGTTGATCATTCATTTGACCGCAAATGCACGCTTGTGAAAATGATTACTGTTGCCATAGTTATTGCGAAATCTAATGGATTTGTAAATTACATCGTAGGCCTTATGCGTATGGCTAACCAGAAAAATGAACATGCATATGAGAAAGCGCTTGATCTCATAAAATCTGCGCATGACACGAGTAGGCAGACGCAACACATGTTATTAGACTGGTTGAAGTTAGCTTAAAATACTAAATAACAAAAGGTAGCACTATGCTCAGTTTACAATAATGACTAGCAATCGTGGCCAACTGCAAGTGGGCTATTCGGAAAATAGAAAGACTTCCGTATTTCCATTGGGACATCGATACACGATTGCGATTTTGGGGGAAAGATAAAAGCCATGCAAACACACAGTTTTTCCAATGGTGTCGATTTGTAGCCCTACCAATTCAAGAAAAATAGAACGTGGCCGTTACTTCAGTGAGGTAACGAAGGTAAGGGTAGTGCGCAGTATTATTTCTTTTTTGGGGGGTAGCAGGTGAAATTCGCAGTAGGAACCGTTGACTTTATACACAACAAACTGCTTCCATTACGTTGGATGTTTTGTACATCTATATGGATGAATACCGCAACAGAAGATCATACAGATATTACGACAGGTTCAGAGTTTGCACACACCCTTTTAGAAAACGAAATCANTTGTAAAGATCATTGACAAGTGTAACTTCAATTTTGGCATCCTTTTAGTCCTATTCCGACTAAACCTTTATTAAATTTGTTATCACGTCCTTATGGAAAATAATTGCGGGGAAATTTAATCGAAATATGGCAAGGATACAAAAAAATGACTACAATATCCAACGAGGAAGTTTGCCGCTGTCTTACCCAAGGATTCAAAGTAAACAAATCCAAGATGGAAATTTGGTATCCTCTGACGATGTGAAAAATGTCAGAGATCTCTTCATCTTTGGCGAAAAACACTGCGAGCCGAAATCTTTCGGAAGAATGGAAGCGTGGATAAGCGAAGAAAGCAGAAAACTAAAGCGAATGAAAAGACACTTTCAACACTCTGAAACCTTTCTTGGGAGTCTGAGAGCCGAGGGGTCTAATGAGGTCTCTTATAAGTTGGTGCCTTCACCTGAATTCAAACCGGGAAGTTATTTTCTGTTGCCAGAAAGCTCTCCCGGATCGGAATATGACGCAGTTCGCTTTGACAGATGCGTGCCCTCGTATACGTACATCAAGCCTACCAATCAGCTATGTAAGAACAATGTTATGAGAAGAGAGTTTTGTGAAGTCGTTGGGAAAGAATTGTGTATCGACTGTAAAGGTGGCAAGCTGAGGCAAAAATTTAATCACAAAATGAATTCTTTATACCCATGTCTTGAATATGATAAAGATAAGAGACCTTACGGGTACTGTCCAAGAGCGATACGTCTAACAGAACCTTTACCATCAAGGGTCCAGCAACGACCGAAAAGCTTAAATTTGACTGAAAGAGGTCGTACTACTTTGAGCGGGGACATCCGCGGCATCCGCCGGGATGGATGTGACAGTGATGCACCAATAAAAGTCTTTATCAAACCTCGGCCGTACACGAGCTGAAATAAAGTATTTGGAGAAGAAATTAAAATCACGACGTGGCCGCGGTAGAACGAAAAGATAATGTTCTGAAGGTGATACCGTTTCTCTTAGAAAGAAGAGCCACTGTTCCGATCCATAACACTGAAAATGTACCAAGGGATACACTTTTTATCACATTAGGTTAAAACATAGAAGTTTATATAAAAATATGCAAAGGATGGAAGGAATTAAGTCTAAATGTTTGTGCAAACGTTTCTCTCCCTTCCAGTAAACACACAGCACAATTCTCATGAGAAATGAGCTAGGCTGAGCCAGCAATAACACAGAGCTAGAGGAAGTGATAAACTTTTCGAACAACTATGCTTATGCGCATCAACCTTATTCAGTTGAAGTCTATCGCAAAAACTTACTACAGCCACCTCTTCATTAAGGACCATTAAAGGCCATGTTTTGACCTGAGCATCGGTTTGATTAGCTGGCCGAAAGTCATTAATACTGTTGCCCAGTTAATGGGCTCCCTTTTAGGGTCTCGTTAATGGTCCCACCTTACATATATCAATCAAGAATATACCGCACTTTCCCATTTTTATGTTACTTATATCATGCATCACTGTGCTACAACTTAACTAGCCAGAGATGGACGTCCTTTCCAATAGTACTTTGTAATATTATGTTCGTCTCTTGCTGTATCCTTGCGGCATCTAAATAAGTAAATGAGTGGACTGGAGATGTATCTATATGGGTCAGTCGTTTCTTAGCCAGCTAACCGCCAAACATTAAAATAACACGTTCCAGAATTTATAACACTGGCAGAGCTGGAACATAGAGAATTAGGGCGATTGAGATAACTGTAAAAGGAAGAAGAGGCAAGGCTAGACTTGGGAAGTCAGGGGAGCCGCTTATGTGATGACAGCTCAAACGAAGAACATGGATTGCAGCCTGCCTAAGACAACTTTGGTTCGAGACGAAAGACCAGACAGCATAATCACCCGCATAATCCGAGAACTAGGTCTGGAAGATCAAATGTCATGGGTGCAGGTTACCATATTCATTTGGCTGTGTTTTATTTTCATTTATTTTTTGACTGTGGAATCCATTTGATATGGAACTAAGCTTGGCTAATTTACAAAGTTTAGAGTTGTAATTGTTTACTGAGGCTTATGTTTGAATAGCGGTTTCACGAAAGACAATATCGGCATAAAAATTAATGCGTCATTTTCAATCGTGACCTCTCAGTATAAGGCATTTGAAGCCGAGTTTGTTAGCTTGGAGAAAGGTAAATCAACTATAAACCGAAATGTGTAACAGATGTATAAATTGACCATGCAAGTCAGTGGTATGAAGTAGGATTAAAAAAGCGATTACACTTTCTCTGTCAAATCGTGTCCTGTCATGGTTTACTTCTTAAGCTCCTTTATTACAGACCTCTCTGATTAATCAATATTTAGTTTAATCCTCGAAGTGTTGTGCAATCAAAGAAACCGAAGCCAATTTTCTCAGTTATCATGCAACAATTGTTTTGACCCCATGGCATGAAATTCGTAGACAATTAGTTTCTTAGTCTGGATTTCAGTTCTTTTGACTGATAGTTTATTTAACGACCCTTGCACAGAAATGCCAAGGGAAATTTTCTTAGATGTTCTCTTACATCAGAACTATTCGCTCCGAAGTGTTATCAAGAGTTCATTAAGCCCTTTTCGAGCTAATAATGCAAATGCAAATAATTCAATGAGGTCCAAGTTAATTGTGTTCAAGCCAAAATTGACAGATTATTTGTTTTTGACAATCTGGCCATGACTTGCATTGTTACCCAGCAACAGTTCAGTACAGTGAAAAGTCGCACATACCGTGACAATAAAATACTTCGCAATCTGTTCTCCACTTTCGCCGTGTTATGGCTTACAAAGCAAGCCGTTTATGTACGTTACAAGACGTACAGGACATATGGAGGCCTTGTACTTCCCAAGTGGATGGTTTGCAAAAGTAAGTGGCAAACAAAACCATTGTGTATGATTTTGTTGACGACCGTGTCTCGATCTAATCGAACAAGACACAGTGATGCAATGTTCTCTGCTATCCCTACTATTTCCAACAAGCCGAGACGCATTCAAGGCCGTTTTTGGGTACTCTTCAGTTGCAAATTCGAAGTTTTGACAGAACTAAACTGTTGCCATTCATTTTGATCTCGGGTGTCAAGAACTTTCGTTTGCTTTCGTTGTTCGACAAGTGAGTTGTCAACATGGCTAGAATGTTTTAGATAAGTGGAAGAAGGTCAGCGCGCGTGTGTATGCCGCCTGATAAATTGTCCAAACTTAGGTTGTATTTGTGAGTTGTTTGTCAGAAGCAGAAGAGAATTCGGCGGAGACACAGTGTTTGTTTAGGCAGGTTTAGGCAATTCGCAAAACCAATCTGGCATTTTTACAAATTGTACAGTACCAATGAAAAGGAACGGGCTTGATGAGTATTGTGATTGTAAGAGACAATGAAAGGTCATGGATCGTCGTGCAGTGCTATATCTAGCTCATTTGTACCCTAGTTAATTTTAGTAAGTTCAAACAAACTTCCAAAGTAAGTGAGATGCTGATATTTAGCTCGGCAAGTTCATATAGCAGTGGCTTGTTGACAGGTGTTTTATGTGACTAAGTGATTGACAACTGAACTGGAGTTTCATGATTCCCAACAACGTGGTTTATGCACATGTAAAGGTATTCAGTCAAGCTAGTAATGGTACGCAGGCTGATTTGCCTTTCAAGGGTCTTTCATGGCAGTGCATGCATGACTTAAGCTTACATTTCACGACTTTGACATTTCCATGGCCGAAAATGTCTGTCTGTTGGACTACTTGTTTACCAGCGTACGCTGCTTATAATTATTTCACCTCAGAAAAAACATGTGAATTAACATCTGATGGCAATTCGGCGTGAATTTTTCTTTTGAAAACTTAAGACGTTTGGTATGTGAGAGCACCTGAAACCACAACATCTGGGAGAATCTCAGTAGGCTTCAGGCCTTTTGCAAAATGACGAGTGTATATAAGTCGCTACATTGGCGAACAATATTTATTATCTTTTCCACTGATAGAGGAAAAGACGTGAGTTATATTGATTCTTCAAATTTGGATAGACGTTTCCATGAGTGTGTCATCGAGAACTGTAACAGTTGTCTCCATCATTAAAAGGACAGAATGAAATCCAATCGCTCGCCGTCAACCACATCAGACCATTTCTATTTACCCCTGTCCTCTGAACGAAGACAGTTTTCGCGTATGACTTACACAGCCATAGCCAGACATTTTCATGATACAGTCAGTCCTAACCCCTGTAACAGGGCATAAAAACTTGATTATATTGATAGGCTTTTCCACGAGACGATCACATGTTAAAACGTCCTTCAAGCAATGCGACAGCCTCCAAAACACAGCAACTTCAACCAGTTAATCTTGACTCTTAGTTTTCCTTGGTTTCGATGTGTCCCAGAACGTAATTTGACATGCAGTACTATTAGGCGGATTTTTGTTCATGCGATTGGCTCGGGCGAATGGTCCATACCTTAAAATTAATCACTGAATGAATCGGTACAGTCTTTAATTTCCGGGGGACTATCCATTTATGTTAACTTCTCCACTAATCTTGCATTCTTAAGGTTTAACCTCAACACTGTCACAGTAGCCTTCGATAGCAACAAGATCAACCAAGTTCCACACAGCCCTCCCAAGTGTATTCCAGTGGAGCAGCTTGGAACATTTGAGGGAGAGGCTTCAAAAATGGATTGTAGTACTCCAATGACAGCAGTAAGTGACATTCGTCAAAACGTCAGCGCCTACCGTGGTTACGTGACATCATCTAACACATGCGCAGTAGACGACACTCGATCCGTCCACTCAAACTCAGAGGGTTCACCTGACAGGGTTTCGCGGACAAATATCTTATCGCGCATGGCAAAAACTAAAGCATCTTGGGTGGAAAACCAGAAGCCTCCTGAGAATCTGCCGGAAGGAAAGAGTCCCATACTCTGCAAGGGGAGGCCGCTTGGGAGTTCCTTACTGACACCATACATGGAAAACAAGTTGTTAACGGATAGAGGTACGAAAGGGGTTCGCTACGGAAAGAAATTTGATCTATTGCCGATTTCGAAATATTTGACACAGTACCGGCACGAGAGTAAGTTTCGGAACGAAAAAAACTTGCCCCTTGTTCGAATAAGTTCTTATCACACAATGTGTGGCTGCTTGGACGGTTTTGGATCCTGGGATTGCTCAGACGGGGAAGAGCAAGATGACAAGCAAACAGCAACCTTCTTTACCACAAAGGACGTATTCAGACCTTTCCACTCGAGGTTGTCACCCACGAAGGGTGAAGCCTTATATGTTGAGCCTGTACAGGGCAAGTTAAACACTGGCTTTATAGATGACATCAGATTGCCAAGACTTCAAGACAGCAGCGGAAATGAAACCTTTTTCACTGAACCAAACAGACACTACAGAGTGAGCCAGAGCAGATTTAAAACAAGGAGAAATGTTTCTTTTCCTGTTATAGTCAATTAAGATCAGGGACGCCCTCTTGTCTAATATCGCTGTACGACAGCAAAAACCGTGTTTTCAGAAGAAAACTGAGAGTGATTTGAAGCAGGTAGCTTGTGAACGATCCGTGAAATACTTCCTGTGTTTTCATTGGTCATAAAGGAACAAGGAGAAGTTAGGTGAGTCCAAACGGCAGCCAGGGAAGGTGGTAAGGTAAGGCTGGAAGAGGCCCTCGAGACTCCCTTCAGAAACGGCTCAAGAGTGAATTCGGCATCGCACCAGACTTTGTCTTTAATGAAACAGCTGAATGAAATGTCTTGTTTTATTTACCAAATAAATAAGCCAAGTGCACAAACTCGAAGACATCATGTTGTCACGCTTTTCAGATCGAAAGCCTGAAAATGGCAGAGAGTGTAACCTAAGTGATTATGCAATCAAAGTTGTTAAATATTGAATACACTTGAATACAATTCCATCAGTTTGGTGTTGTTTACTTTCAGCAGGCCCTTTACTAGGTATTTCCGTGGACCATAAAAGCTGCTTTCTTGGCAAATCAAGTTCTAAAAAAAGTTTCAGTTGATCATTCATTTGACCGCAAATGCACGCTTGTGAAAATGATTACTGTTGCCATAGTTATTGCGAAATCTAATGGATTTGTAAATTACATCGTAGGCCTTATGCGTATGGCTAACCAGAAAAATGAACATGCATATGAGAAAGCGCTTGATCTCATAAAATCTGCGCATGACACGAGTAGGCAGACGCAACACATGTTATTAGACTGGTTGAAGTTAGCTTAAAATACTAAATAACAAAAGGTAGCACTATGCTCAGTTTACAATAATGACTAGCAATCGTGGCCAACTGCAAGTGGGCTATTCGGAAAATAGAAAGACTTCCGTATTTCCATTGGGACATCGATACACGATTGCGATTTTGGGGGAAAGATAAAAGCCATGCAAACACACAGTTTTTCCAATGGTGTCGATTTGTAGCCCTACCAATTCAAGAAAAATAGAACGTGGCCGTTACTTCAGTGAGGTAACGAAGGTAAGGGTAGTGCGCAGTATTATTTCTTTTTTGGGGGGTAGCAGGTGAAATTCGCAGTAGGAACCGTTGACTTTATACACAACAAACTGCTTCCATTACGTTGGATGTTTTGTACATCTATATGGATGAATACCGCAACAGAAGATCATACAGATATTACGACAGGTTCAGAGTTTGCACACACCCTTTTAGAAAACGAAATCAATCAAAAAGGCAAAACAAATACTGCACGATACTCTCGTTGTCTATGTTCAGTTTCTCATATTTTTAAATACACCACAATGAATTATGAAAAGGAGTCCAGTTATAGTGCAAACCCTTTTAAAAAAATGTTCTCTGCACGCAAAACATCTTCACTGAGATGATTCAGCTGCACCGCTCTTTCTATCGGATGCCGAACGACATTGTATTCTGAGTGACGGGCCATTATTTTTTTTTTGAGGAGGGTGCGGGAGTGGGTGGCGATTTTTTGGACACGATTTTTTTTCGCACGTTTAGGTTACGCATGATTTTTTGGTTGGCAAAACCTTGCATACAACTTGAAATTTGATTTGAATAATCAGGATTAAGTAGGGGAAAAAACTGTACTCTCCTGACGTCAAACGCTTGTTAACGGGAAAGGCATTGAAGTCAGACATCTATTCTCACTGGTGACAGCATTCACGACTCTGAAAAGGATTTATAATTCCAAACGTCATGTCAGATTGTAAAAAGTGAAAGAAACGGATCATTTTGTGTCTCCAAGCTTTTAATTTGGCGCCGAAATTGGGTCTGTCGTGTTGGGCAACTCGCTCTTCGATCGCTGTCGCCAGGTAGGATAAAAGTTGTGTCATTTTGAAAAAAATATGTCAAATTAAACCCAGAATGCTCGAGTTAAGCATTAGAAGTAGCCAAGGCAGCTTAGAAATGTCTATATTTTTTGTTAGTTGCGAAGAAGAAGACTATTATCGTGTCGTTTCGGTAGGACAGCTCGGCTTGGGCTGTCGCTTGTAATGCGAGCACAGTCACCGTATGCAAGAATCGTTTTTAAGTCAAAAACGGTACCTGGATAGTAGGAAGCAATTGTTCAACTATTTTTCCTCTGGCTCCCCTTGCACGATTTTTTTCAGCAGTTTTTGCCGTGCAGGATATTTTTTTGGAAATTGCCCAACTCCTCCGCTCCAAAAAAATAATGGTCTATCCCTAAGACCTTGCAAGATTTGATAGTTGACTTCGCCAGTGGCATGACCTCTTGTACTAGATTTTGCAAGACCTCTGTGCGGCAAATTTACTGCCCAGTTCAGTACTTTATATCTGGTTATATAGTGACTCTTTGGATAACCGACTCGGCCCCGCATTCTTTTTTCATGATGTCTGCGTGTTTTCTACAATCGAGTTCTTTATGTCGGACTTTATTCTGCGAACAGAAACGCCGCATCGAAGTCAACCACTTTTAGAGCCGGCAGTTGATTTGTAGCGCATACATACATACATACATACATACATATATTTTTGATGAGGCAGGTCTGCGTCTGGCAACCCAGGGGGCTGGTGTGGACCTGCCATAAAATATATACCTAAAAACTAAAATCTAAAATTATTAAAATACATCCTTAGGATTCAAAAGCTACTAAA